ATGTTTATTGATGAGCGAGAGTGGAGAGAAACGTTGATCGGCTGCCTCCTGTACATGCCCTGACCCGGGATCGAACCCGGAACCTTTTGGTGTGTGGGACAGCAAAAGGTTCTAGCCGCCTGGGGCTAGAACAGTGTCTTTCCACCACCTCAGCATAGTATTTGACGTTGCTTTCTCCTGGGTTTCTCCTTCCTCGTTCTCCGTTGTACCTGTGCACACCACTTCCTCGTCCACATTGTTGAGGCTCAGCACGTCTCGCCCACGGCAGACACACACGTGCTGCTGGGGAGCACCGTGCGGCCCGGTGATGCAGATCCTCACCTGGGGCTTTCTGGGCCCCCGTGCCCCTGTCCATTTTAACGTCTTGTGGCACCAGAATTGTGGAAATAAGACGATTTTAAATGCAACAAAATAAAAATCTTACGGTACCGGCAAACCTGTCCGCCGTGGCCCTTCCCACACACGGTCCTGAGCTGAGCCCCCGGCCTGAAATGCCCTCTTTGCTTTGCCGATGGAGCTGTGTGTGACAGCCCTTCCTGCATTCATCCCAGGGTTTCCACATCCGACCTACATGGCAGGAGAGCATTCCCCTGCCAGTCATATTTTAAAATCTAACTCAGGAGTGTTTAACTGGACTTGTTGAAGGTTTCTTTTGAGTCCTCAAACAGCGTGCTCTCAGGCCCCTGGGAATCGCTGGCTTCATATCCCGCGCTGCAGCGCGAACAGCAATGCTGTGCTCCGCGGCCCTCCCTGACCTGGGGGAGGGAGAGGTCTCCCGGGGAAGATGGTTCTGTTTTGGTCGGTCCTTGCTGCTCTGGGGTGTCTGTTGGAACAGAGCCTGGAAGGCAGACCTCGAATGGCATCATTGCTGGGACTCCATTCCGCTCGGGCTGCCCCTGAATTCCATTTGCAGGGAGGGCCCGCTGCTCGCAGGAAGTGCAGGCTTAGGGCGAAGGGTGCCCAGCATAAGACTGGCACCTGTCCTGTCTGTGTTGCACTGGGTACCAGTTGAGACATCAGTAGGTGATTGCCTGTTTCTACAGCTGGAAATGAGATGGAAAGGAGGGATCCATGAGTGTGGAACCCAGCCTCACTTCGAGAAAGCACAAGCACCTGTTGGCCTTAGTACATTTCCCCTTCTCCCCACTGCCCTGGGCCGGACCCCAGACCTGGCCAGGGTCCGAGCAGCACCTGTGAGAGCGGTGGGACCACCTTGGAGAGATGGTGACTGAGTGTTGGCCTTGCCCCTGTCACCAAGCACTCAGTTGGAGAACCGAGGCTATTTGCATTTTTTTCAAAGGGGGTCAGTAGAGCCCTCTTTGGCAGCACATCTAGTAAAATTGGGACGATAGAGAGAAGATTAGCATGGCCCTTGTACAAGGGTGGGACATAAACTCATGAAGCATTCAATATCTATAATAAACACATAATATGCAAATTAACCAAACAGCAGAACGACCGTCTGGGTGACCTTCCGGACGACCACACTATGACATGCACTGGTGCCAGGCCAGCCAAGGTCAGGGCCCTGCCATTGCCCCACGATCACCCTGCAGGGGGGAGGCCCAAGCCAGCCAAACAGTCACATCCCAGCCTGTTGCCCACAGAGGGAGGTGACTGATGGGGGGGGCAAGGAGAGGGGAGTAGCACAACACAGATGGCAGGCAGTGGCAGTAGGGGCGGGGCCAGTTGCCGGCAGCCGGGGAAGGAAAGCCCTGATAGGCCCTGATCGATAGGCCCTGAACGCCGGCAAGGCCTAGGGATCCTACCTGAGGGGTCCCGGATTTGAGTGGGCGCAGGCCGGGCTGAATTTTGTGCACCAGGCCTCTAGTTTGAAAACAAAGGTCAGTAGCTTTATTTCATAAAGAGGTTCGTGATGCAAAAAAGAAAAAAACACACACACAAAAAACCACCCATAAAAACCAAAAGACCAAAGGAGGTGGAGTGGGGGAAGTAGGACAGACTTTAGTAGGCTGTCATCCAAGAAAGGCAGTGACCACAACTGTCTTCCCAGCCTTAAGTGCTTGGCACAGAGCCAGGCTCCAGTGGGCACTCAATAAAGAGTTGTTGAATAATAGATGGTATTGTATTTTCATAACATTTTAATGTGATGAGTAAACTGAGGCTCAGAGAGGTTGGATAACTTGCCTGTGGTCACACAGCTGGGACACGGCAGGCCGTGACTCAGGCCTCTTTCTGTGGGAGCCACGGGCCACGTGCCTCAGTAGACTGACACAGAGGGAGCGGGAGAAACACGTTCTTCTCGCTCGTTCGCTCGCTCTCTTCAACACAGTCACTCCCTTTGTTTTGTTTTTTTTCTGTTATATTTTTAAGTTTTTTTTTTTTTTTTTTTTTTTTTTTTTAAGTTTTGACATAATTACAGAGAAGTTGGCAATCAGTATAAACAATTCTCCTTTGCCCATGTCTGTAGAGGTATATTCTTGGGAGATTTTGTGAGCTGTTTTAACTTGAGGTCCGGCCACCCTGCATAGGGGCTTCCTGGTGTCTGTGAGGCAGGGTGTGTCCCTCTGAGAACGTTTAAGGGGGGGGGGGGGGGCTTGTGTGGAAAAAAAACCCCAGCCACGTGACCCCACCCAAGAACTAAAGCTAACCCAGGAGCTGCCCTCATGGGCTTGCTGGATGAAAACGTGAGAGGAGAGTGTGGGGTTTGTGGTTTTGCATGGAAGAACCCCCCCCCCCCCCTCTAGAAACGGGAGGGTGTGGGGAGTATAAAAGTGGCTTATGAAGATGACTTCAGCTTCCCAATCGGACACCCTCGAGGGTGGCACCATACCTCCGGCTGCCAAGAACAACAGGCGACGGGTTCCCAGACGCTGCGCCCCGCCATTTCCTCTCCTTGCTGTTGCAATTAAAGGCGACTGTTTACGCCGTGTTATCTGCTCCACGCCCTCCGCACTGGTTGTTGTTAACCCGCACCTTGCTTTCTTTCACTCTTGGTGCCCCTGTTCCTACTTGCTCGCTCTGGTTTCCAGGGTTCCTCCTCCTTCCCGCTGAGACAGCTGCATCCCCACAGGCACTGTATTTGGAGGAGGACGGGCGGGGATTCCTTCTTGTCTGAGAGGAAAGGGGGTCTCCTTTCAAGGGGTAAATAAACAGTTTGAAAGTTTTCCAATCAGGAGAGCTTCTCCCGTTCTGACATGAAAGAAACCATGTCCATTGCTGGCGTTAAGTTCCCTTGGAAATACTCATTGAAGCTTCTGGAGCATTATTTTAATAGGCACCTTTTATTTATTCCCCTCAACCGGTGACACCAAACAATAGGATTGCTTTGGGCTTTACAGTGGCAGATAGAACGCTCCCAGGGGAATTTGAGGCCGGGTCCCTGAAACGAGGAGAGGACCATTCTGCCTTGGTATTGATTACCCAACGCGGCCCGCCATGACAGTGTGGACACGGAAAAGTTTAGAGTCAGCACATCCCTCTCAGGGTCAAAGCTCCTGAACCGATCAGGAGCCATTTTACGTCTTCACGGCGGCTGTGCACGTCCGGCATCTGCCCATCCTGCCCATCCTGCCCATCCGTGTGTGTGAGCCGGTGTGTGGAATGCCGGCTCCCAGGGAGCGGTGGGACCAGTGGCTGCCTGGGTGGACCCCAGCCGGGAGGACGGTGCTGTGGATTCGGCTGGGACCATGGCCCCTCTTCAAAGGTTTAATTGGTGGTGGGGGGGGGGAGGTAAATCATCTTCCTCTTTTGTCTTGGAGATAGCTAGGCCCGTCTTCTTGTCTGAGTTGCTCCTCTGGTTCGGACTTATTTTGTAGCCTTTAAGTTTTCCAACACCCACGTGGGAACCGAGGGCACCTGTTTGGGTGGTGGACACAGTGCAGAGGACCTGGATTAAAACTGAGCATGGTCTCTTAACTAGTTGGGTTACCCCAGACAAGCCACTGGACTTCTGTGAGTCTCAGCGTCCGTGTCTGTAACTTGCGGGTGCTAATTAGCTCTTTGTCGCGAGGATCACATGAGGACGGCCTGTGGAAGGACTCAGTGTTTCAGTCAGTGTTTGGTGTTGCTCTGGGATCTGACTGCAGATAAGTTCCATCGCTTCCACAGATTTAGTTAAGTTCCTATTGGCAGGTTAATTTAGTTCTTGGAACTTGATCTCATCCGGAAACTGGAATAGTAACACCTACCTGGTTAAATGGTTGGGAAACGGCAATAAGGACACCTACGCGGCTAAATAACACCACCTACCTGGTTAAGCAAGCCGGATGCCTGAGATACATGGCTTCCAGGGGTCACAGAGCTTGGCCAACGGCGATCACATGGTAGCCTTTGCATGACGCTGGCTGAGCTCTTGGACACAATACACGACTAGTGAGTTCTTCACAGGGATACGAGCATTGAACTGGTATTGTCTCTGCAGAGAGTGAGTCGGGGGAGATAGGGGGAGGGGATGAGAGTGGGTGAGCCAGGCTACTTGTATCTTGACATGAGGATTTGTTTGGAAAATAAATTTCCTTCTGGTAATTGTATGTAATGTGACAGGTCAGTGAGTAGTGCCAGTTAACTTTTATTAATTACTGTACATTGTTGTAAAGCTGTAAGATCATAAAGGTCATAGAATTTGCTAAAGAGAAGATTTTGATACGTCTTTAAATAGTGTTTAAAAAATTGAAATAGGCAATCTAGCAGGGATTGGTGTTTTTGCAGAAGGGAAAATTAGCGAAGACAGCTTTCCAAAACAGTATTTAATGAAGTGTTGCTTTTAGCTGCTGACAAATTAATTTTTGGTATATCCCTCAGGAAGACTGAAGGAATGACAGCTGTAGTTGGTGGATGAGAGTTTGAAAGTGAAAGGGGGACGAAGTGTTAGAGAGAGAAAAAAGAGAGGGGGAGGGAGGAGAGAGAGAGAGAGAGAGAGAATATTCCAGGAAAAGTGTCTCACAGTTGGTCCTAATGGTCTCATGTGTCAAGAATTCTGAATTACCTGCATTTTTTCTCTGATTGCTCATGTGTGGCATGGTTTGTTTTTCTTCTAGGATGTGGAGAAAGAGAAGGAAACCCACAATTACCTCAGCAAAGAGGAAATCCAAGAGAAAATTCATAAATACAATTTAGCAGTGACAGACAAGCTGAAGATGACCTTGGTAAGCACCCATGTCACACTCTCGGTTGACCGAGGTAAAAAACAAATGAGTTGCTGCTGTTACAGTCCATCTCTGTTTTAAAGGCTCTGAGTCACAGTTGCAGAAGGTTAATGGTCCAGGTATGTAGGACAGGAAAATGTTTCTGAGTCTTTCAGATTCCTTTGAAGTAGCTTTATCTCAAAATCAGTTGCATTTAATTTTAAAAGATTCTGTGCCCACCAAAGGATTTATAGCAGTGAGTATAATCTTTGCCTGTTTAACATATTCTAATGAGGCCCTACATGCGTTTATCTTGTGTAAATACATTTGGAAGTTTCAGGAAAAGGGATTGTGCCAATGGACTGAAATCTAACTGAGCTCAGACTTTTCTCAGCTGGCATCAGGAATAAGGTGAGGTATGCGGTATCTGCTCCCTGGGTGTTGTTGATTCAAGCTCCTGCAACAGGGTGCCTACTGTGTGAAGCGCGGAGGGGAGCTCGGGGCTGGGAGAGGAGAGGAGCGCTGACTACCGAGCTGGAGTGCTCCTGTTCCTTTAACTCGGACCGGCACCTGTACTTGCCCTCCTGCCCCACTTGGGGACTTTCCTTGCGGCACCTGCCATCCCTTGGTGCCGGTTTCCAGGGCTCTTGGACCCCTGCCTCTCAGCCTATTGACTGAGCCGACAAGAGTTCAGCAAAGGACAGGCTGACCGGTTTAGAACAGGCCCTACTGAGTTCTGTGACCCCAGGGGAGGAGCTTTTAAATATAAACCCTGTGATAAGAGATCCCTCCCTAGTGGGGCTCTGCCAAGATGGAGAGAGGGGCAGATGAACTCAAGGCTACTCTTCATCACTCCAGCAGTGATGTTCTCCTTTTTCAAACAGTTTTCATCTAAGTAGAGAAATTCCACCTGCCTCCTCCCCCCCCTCCCCCCCCCACCCTTCTGTAAAGTTTAATTAAAATATGCAAATTTACATGTTTTCATAGATAAAAATTTTGAGTGTAGTATACTACTTTCCACCAGACTGAACAAGTGAATTAGTATTGTAAAGTGATCCTGAATAAAGGAAGAAAATTAATTCTATATAATAAACCCTAATATGCAAATTAACTGAATGGCAAACGATCGGTCGCTATGATGTTCACTGACCACCAGGGGGCAGACATTCAGCACAGGAGCTGTCCCCTGGTGTGCTCCCACAGAGGGAGCTGGGCTCACAGCTGGTGAGCACAGCAGTGGTGGCAGGAGCCTCTCCTGCCTCCATTGCAGGGGGGCCGTAAGGAGCGAGGGGTCCCAGACTGTGAGAGGGTGCAGGGCTGGCTGAGGGACCACCCCCTCCCCCAAGTACATGAATACCGCGCACCAGACCCTTAGTGGGCCATAAAGGAGTTTTTTAATGTCCTACTTCAGTGGTCGGCAAACTCATTAGTCAACAGAGCCAAATATCAACAGTATAACGGTTGAAATGTCTTTTGAGAGCCAAATTTTTTAAACTTCTTCTAAGGCCACTTCTTCAAAATAGACTCGCCCTGGCCGTGGTATTTTGTGGAAGAGCCACACTCAAGGGGCCAAAGAGCTGCATGTGGCTCGCGAGCCGCAGTTTGCTGATCATGGTCCTATTTTAACTGTGTCATTTATACATAACACCTGATAATTTATTTAAATAAAACATTACAATATTTAAAAAAATATATATATATATACTGAATGTAAAATAGAAAGTGAAAACAAGACCATTATTAACATTCTTGGCCATTAAAAAATAGTAATTCTACCATAAGTTAAGATAGGTGCTAAAACTCATCAGATTGTATATATTAAATATATGCAGGTTTTTTTTTTGGTATAAAAGTTATATCCTAACCAAAACTAGTAAAAATATACGTATAGACAGTCCTCAGGTTACGTCGGACTCGACATATATCGTTTCGTGGTTACATCACCATCTCCCAAAGATTTTTTAATTTTTATTTTTTTATATATTTCATTGGTTTTTTAAAGAGAGGAAGAGAAAGGGATAGAGAGTTAGAAACACTGATGAGAGAGAATCATCTATCAGCTGCCTTTTGCACACCCCCTACTGGGGATGTGCCCGCAACCAAGGTACATGCCCTTGATCGGAATCAAACCTGGGACCTTTCAGTTCGCAGGCCGATGCTCTATCCACTGAGCCAAACCGGTTTCATCATCCCATTTATTTATTTAAAAAAAAAAAAAAGTTCTGTCATTTCGATGTATGTACATATGTGCTGTATGTTTTTTATTATTTATTTGCCACAAGCAAAGGTCAGGGATTGTTATCTTTTAAGTATTTTTACTGTTTCACTTCATTACTGCTGTGCGTAGGTGCGTACGTAGGTGGGTTCCCACTTACGGCGAAAATTACGTCGCCGTAGAAACGGATCTCCGACGTAACCCGAGGACCTACTGTATATATGGAGGGAAACATACATACCATGTTAAATAAGAAAAGACAACAGCTTATATTATAATGTCTATAGTTCACACTGTAGCTTGAATTTGTTTTAAAAATTGTTGCTTGAGGTGCCTGAAGCCCATCGCATATCCTGTGCTCCGTGGGATGATTTGTGTAAAAGAGATTCAGTGACATTGGTAATCGAGTGCCTGACATAACAGCCAGGAGGACAGAGCTTGTTTTCTTACTGCCTCCTCCTTGTTGGCTTAGGTATTTTAAAGCCCCGTTTGTGACCTTCCTTTTCTGTCATAGCTTGTCCCAGTTACAGATGTCTCTGCATTGTGCATTAGCCTAGACCTGTGGCCCAGGCCTTAAGGAGCCCTGTGGTTTGGCCAGCATCTGCTCCAGCGGGCTGTCTCCCTCGCTTGGGGGCCCCCGTGCAGCTTCAGAGGCGTGGGTCTGGGCTTCGGTCGGCCTGTGTCGGGAGGCGTCTGCTGTCTCCACATCTGCCCTGCAGACCTTGCCTCTGGAAGCACTTTGCTGGGGCGTAACCTCCTCAGAGGTCATGCACAGAGCAGTGCTCTCTGGTGAAGTGTGGCCACAGAGCTGTACGTGGCAAGAACCCGTCCTTCCTTGTATTATCTTCATCTGCCCCTTCCCTCCAGTGCCGCCATCAGTGCAGCTCAGAGTGCTCTTGCTTTTCTTCCTGCTCCAGAATCCGAATGGGACGTACACTGGCTTCATCAAGGTGCAGATGGAACTCTGCAAGCCCCCGCAGGCGTCTCCGAGCGGCTGCATGAACACGCTCCACATCAGCAGCACCAACACCGTGGGGGAGGTGATCGAGGCCCTGCTCAAGAAGTTCCTCGTGACTGAGAGCCCCGCCAAGTTTGCACTTTATAAGCGCTGTTACCGGGAGGATCAAGGTACGTGGCCCGCGCAGGGTGGCCGGGGGCTCCGCTTTAATTTTGTCTCCTGTGCCCATTGGCAGGAGGGCTGGTGGGCGTGTCCGTCCGTCCGTGGGAGCCAGGACAGTTCTGGGGGGCGTGGACGGTGCGTGCTGGCTGTCCGTAGGTTTGAGCTGGGCAGTGTGCACCTGGAGAGCTCGGGCATCACATGTGATGAGCACCTTTGTACAGCGAGATGGCTTTGGTTTTCTTTGGAAACTTCGGTTTGAAGGCCCTTTAGGACAAAAAGCATGCCCTGTGCTTGAAGTTTGCAGGAGCACATCCCAGGTTAGAGGCGCAGCGGAACGGGGAGCGGCCTGGTGGGTTTGAGTTCTGAGACCCTGAGGCTGGGGAGGCCCGTGTGTATGACCGCACATCCGGACTAACTGGCGTGCGTGGCCAGCCCGGCTCTTCTCTCTCCCTGGCGTGCCTCTGGCCATTACACCGGGGCATTTTGGCACCCAGTCCCCCAGAGGCACTTACAATCTGAACTTAATACCCACAGTCAGTGGATAGAAAGAGACTATTACATTTCTATGTCAGGTTCTCGGGCAGAAATTGATACTAGTTGTGGACAACAGTGATTGAGTGATTGACTTAAGTAATCATTTGAAAATGGTGACTGAGAACTCAACTATTTTTATTTCAAAATAAATTTTTATATATATTTTTTATTGATTTCAGAGAGGAAGAGAGAGGGAGGGCTAGAAATATCAATGATGAGAGAATCACCGATTGCCTTCTACACACCCCACAAGGGGGATTGAGCCTGCATCCTGGGCATGTGTCCTGGTTGGGCATCGAACTGTGACCTCCTGGTCACAGGTCAATGCCCAACCACTGAGCCATGCCAGTCAGGCAGAACTAACTGTTGGTTTTCTCTAGTTTTTCTGGGGTAAAGCCTAAAGCAGCTCTAGAAAAAGGAAATGCTAACATGATAGGAATGCCCTCGGTTGCATGAGGATGGAACCCAGCTACTTGCTGAGTGTATGCACATTTTGGGAACACATGGCTGGGCCCTGGTGCGAATGGACTGAGGTTAGATGGACTGAGGTTCCCATCTCGAGGCCACAGGCTCAGTGAGCGGGGCAAGTTCACCTCTGGAGGGAAATGAGCACCTGTGGTGCAGTTGTACCCGAAGTGCTAGAGGAATGGAGATTAGCTCGGATGGCATTTTTATCTTGCCAGCTTACTTGCTGGCTCACCTGGACTTCAGTTGTGCAGTCCTGTTGAGATATTGCCTTAGTGGCTGCAAGTCTTTTAACATTACAGGCAATGCCAGTACTGTGTGTGTGTGTGTGTGTGTGTGTGTGTGCGCGCGTGCGCGTGCGCGTGCGTGCGTGCGTGTGTGTGTGTGTGTGTGCGTGTGCGTGTGTGCGCATGTGTGTGTGTGAGAGAGAGAGAGAGAGAGAGAGAGAGAGAGAGAGAGAGAGATGAGGCATATAGCTGTGCTTAAAGTCACCCAAGCTCGTATTCTGACTCTGTTTGTGGCTGCAGATCCTCAATTAATCTGCAGAGATTTGCTCCTGGAGCTCTGACTTCATGTTCTTTGGATGGTATATTTTTATTTATTTTTTAAAAATATATTTTCTTGATTTTTTGCAGAAAGGAAGGGAGAGGGATAGAGAATTAGAAACATCGATGAGAGAGAAACATCAACCAGCTGCCTCCTGCACACCCCTTACCGCGGATGTGCCCGCAACTAAGGTACATGCCCTTGACCGGAATCGAACCTGGGACCTTTCAGTCTTCAGGTACATGCTGTAACCACTGAGCCAAACCGGTTTCGGCTTTTTTTTATAGTTTTTTAAAAGGGGTTGCAGATCCTTTTTTATAGAAGTTTTTTTTTATCTTGTTTTCTAAAGGGAGGAGCAGAATTAATTATAGGCCCATTTTGGGGGAGGATTATCCATTTAAATTAATTCTTGAAAATGATTGCCTTTTTGATCAAGGCGTAGTTTATGTTGTGCAGCTAGAAAGAAAACAGTATAGCTTTCATCCCCCTGTGGGCTGCTGGTAACACGAGGAGGAGGGTGGTGCGTGGGCTGTTGCTGTGGCCTGGAGGCGGGTGGTGGGGGTGAGGCCGGGAGCGATGCTGAGGCGGGTGGTGGGGGTGAGGCCGGGGGCGATGCCGCGCCCACCTGTGACCCGCTCCTCTCCCCTCACCCAGTCTACGCCTGCAAGCTCTCCGACCGGGAGCACCCGCTCCACCTGCGCTTGGCAGCCGGGCCCAGAACAGACACGCTCAGTTTTGTTCTCCGCGAACATGAAATCGGAGAGGTAAGTCCATGACTGCTTTAAACGGTGCCCACCAGCTGGGCCCGCGTTATGGCTCCAGCCGAGTGAGTTTGCCGTCGGAGAGGGAGGGTTGCCCCGCGGAGGGCGGCTTTCTGTGTTTTTGAATTGTTAGGAATGAACCCAGGGTTAGTCCACGGTATACTTCTTTTACAACGCTCGTTACCGTGGCCTGTCGCTTCCAGCGGTGGAGGAAACAGCGTTTTAACTGGATCTCCACCCCCAAGAGTCGTTCTCACCCCCTCCACCTCTGAATTCCTCTAATCCAGCTGAACTTTGAAAGCTGACACTCTCCATATGTTCTCCACTAACCAAGTCTCCAGGCTAATTCACTCCCTAGGGTAATAAGAGGGAACTCAATCTCTTCACCAGGAGAGACATTGAAGGTTGTAGGATCATTTTTTCCTCTTGGCCCAGATGATTAGGAAATTATGTTTATGTATGTGCCATCGTTTGCCGTTTTCCCTCCGGGGAGGGTTGTATTTAGGCCAGTGAGTTGGAGGAGAAAACACTTTGGACTGTCGTCCTAGATCAAGTGTCACCTTTGAAAGGACACTTGAGCAACTTTCAGGCTCCAGGTCTCCGTCCTTTGTCTGCAACAGGAAATGGTATGAACTGTCCAGTTTGTGATGCAGCGAGAAGAGGGTTTCTAGGTTAAAAAGTTAGAGGACCAGCCGAAGCCAGTTTGGATCAGTGGTAGAGCGTCGGTCTGCGGACTGAAAGGTCCCAGGTTCGATTCCGGTCAGGGGCATGTACCTTGGTTGTGGGCACATCCCCAGTAGGGGATGTGCAAGAGGCAGCTGGTTGATGTTTCTCTCTCATCGACGTTTCTAGCTCTCTATCTCTCTCCTTTCCTCTCTGTAAAAAATCAATAAAATGTATATTAAAAAAAAAAAGTTAGGGACCAGGATTCCGCCTTGGGTAACTCTGATCTTTTCGGTTCAGTTTTAACATCTGAGAAGTGGGACTAAGGACTTTAAAAGGTGGTTTTAAGTTGCAAATTAGAAATGACTGTAAATATGCTTTGTAAATAGTATGCCTATGTCCATCCATGTGAATTGTAACTTTATTTGGGCACTTTTAAAGTTCCTTTTGATTCTAATGTTCTGGAGTTTTAAAAGTCACCGTCATTTTTGGGAGAAAACGGGGCGTGGCTTTGGTTTGACACGAGGCAGCGTTTCCCCTGTGTGTGCCCGTCAGCCTCGCCTTGCTCATGTCTCATTTTCCTGGCCCTTGGCCTTGACACACTGCTCATGGTAGTGCAATCAGAGCCACATTTATTGTCTGGGAGGGAGTTATGGTTTTGAAATTTACCTTGTGTTTTAATGCTCCGAATTGCTTTATTAGACCTCTGAATGGTGTTCTCATTTCTCAGGGTTTTACGGTTAAGCTAAATTGGGGGAAGAAATCCATAGCTGGCAGGAAGAGGGAGGAACTTATTTTATTTTGGAGAACATATGTGAAAAGTAAAACGTTAATGTTTAAAGTTTAACAGAATATTCCAGTGTAGGAAGTTTTACCCTCCTGTTCCATGTTTCTCGTTTCCTTTGATAATGATCCCCATCTCCGGGGCCCTTCTGTCATGGAGCCACTGGTGGTTTTGCTCTGTCCCCTCTGTCTGCCGTATTGGATTCTCTCCAGCTCTCCCCTGCCCCTCCCCCCTGGGAATTCCCACCGGGATCGGCCGTGGCAGCTCGCAGCCAGGACCCAGGGCCCCTTTTGGGAGGGGAGGATGTCAGGTTTGAAAAGTCCTACCAGCCAATGCATATACCCTTCTTGATATGTTCTACTGAAAAACTGGAAAACCACCCGCAAACATTGATTTTGTGCCTTCTAAGTACCCCGTGCTTCTAGGAAGCACAACTCGGAAACACAAGGGCAAGAGACAAAGCCCAAATAGTGAGAGGTATGACAGCTTGGTGTAGGCGAGAGGAATACTCAGCAGATGATTATAATAATTCCTGTGTCTTTTTTGGTCAGGGTTACCAGTGCTCAGTGAGAGCCTTCTAATAGACTTCGTCCTGGGTGGGAAGGGAGGGAGGGAGGGAGGAAATCACGGAAGGCTTCTTAGAGACTCGATTGGTTGAGTAGTTCGCCAGGCAAAGGGAAAACATGTGCAGAGCCACTTGGGGTCGTAGGTGAGGGGGACAGTGTGAGAGAGGGGAGGGTCTTTCACACTTAGCAGAAGCAACCGAGGGAAGCATTGAGTGATCCCCAGGAGGGGCGGGTCATCACCAGATTGGCGTTTTACTGAGTATGGTCGCCCTCCCTAGCCTGTAGGCACCCCCCAGTGGATGACCGGAACCTCGGATAGTACCAAACCCTTTTTACTTACAGGAAGCACTTTACTGCTTCTCTTCGTCATATCTGAGCTGCCAGCGTCACTAGTCTTGTGCTGTAAGATAAGGGTTACGTGAGCACCAGCATGCTGACGGGGGACCCTCAGTCTGAGAACTGAGGCGCTGCTGACCAATGGGCCGGGCCGTGCTGGGAGGGATGGCGCGGGGGCTCGAGATTTCTTCGTGCTTCTCACAGTGGCGCGCGATTTAAGACGTACGGATCGTTTCTCTCTGGAATTCCATTTAATGTTTCTGGACCACGGTGGGCTGGATTGGCTGGGGCAACTGGAACCATGGACAGGAATGGCGGATGGGGCGGGGACTTGTGTTCAGGCTGGCGGTGGGGAACAGGTTGGGGGGCGTGGAGTGGCATGAGGAGGCCAGGGAAGGAGGTGGCGGTGGCCGTTGAGAGGGAGAAAGTTCGGGAAGTGATCACGTTGCCTGAGGGGGGAGAGGAAGAGGGGGGGGGCAGTGACGACTCCGAGGAGAGGGCACGGGTGGAGGGAGTGAGGGGTGGTTCCAGTGCTCGGGGGTCAGTCAGCGAACGTGTCTCATGGGTGTGGGCCGTGCGGTCCTGGCCTTAGCGGGGCCCCGGGAGGGCGGAGGGCCGCGGGGCAGCCAGGGCGGGTGGCGAGGTGGGCATGGCAGTGAGGCCCTGGGGGGCGGGGCTGAGTGCCCAGGCGGGAACCCGCACATCCGGGCGCTCCGGGGGCGGCATCCTTGGTCCGGACAGAATGAAACTCCCGGCCTTTCTCCCTTTGCCTTCTCTCCCAGTGGGAAGCCTTCAGCCTCCCAGAGCTGCAGAACTTCCTGCGCATCCTGGACAAGGAGGAGGACGAGCAGCTGTATAACCTGAAGAGGCGCTACACGGCCTACAGGCAGAAGCTGGAGGCGGCGCTCAGCGAGGTGTGGAAGCCGGGCTAAGGCGGCCCCGATCTCAGGGCGCAGGGCCTGCGGACACACCGGCAGCGGGTCTCCTCTCGTCTCGTCTCGGAGGGCTGTTTCCCGGCCCCGTGATGCGAGGGGCTTCCTGCCCCTTGATCCCTAGAGGAGCTCTCCGGACCGCCCCGCCCCGCCCCGCGCCTGGGCCTCTGCCCGGAGCCTGCGGCTCGTCTGTTACCGCGCGTCCCGCCCGCCAGCCGTGGAGCTGGGCCACGCGTGCTTGGAAGCATGGACTCTGGGTTTTGTTTCTCGTTTTCTTCGTTATTTTAATTATTTGATGATGATGTTAAGCTTAAGGATGTGCACATGATTTTTCAAAAGCTTAACCAGGAATCTGAATACTTGTCCTCTGTTGAAACTACCTGTCTTTTTTTTTTTTTTTTTTTTTTCTCTCCAATATCAGAGGGAACATCCACGTGAATGAAAGGCACAGGAAGCTGGGAACTCAGGAGTTGGGGAAGGATTTTGGAGGAGCTTGGCATTTCAAGAAAGTAAAGAGCAAGTTTGGAGGAAGGCGTGAGGGGAGCTGGAGGAGCTCTGAGGGTGGTTTGGGTGACGGGTTGGTGGAGGAGAGAGAAAGGTGTATTTGTTTGTAAAGGATTAAAACGTTCCTGTTGAGGTGTTAGGGCCACTGTAGTACTGCTTGGTTTCCTGGTGAATTAAACATGGAAACGGCACCAAAGAACGTAGGAGCTAGACCAAAGAGAGGGATGGTGACGGAGGCCGACTGAAGGTCGCCTGCGGCCGGTGATGGTCCAGAGCCAGGAGCGGGAGCGGGAGCCGGAGCCGGAGCCTGCCTTCCCAGATCTGCCTTTTCACGTGGAAGGTGCAGCTTCCCTGGGCCTGTGGAGCAGGGACTGTTGGACGCCTGCTAAGTTACTCTTTTCCCTGAGGTTGTTTTCAAAGCTGAAAAGGAGTCTGGGGAGGGCCCGTTTCTCCAGATGGCTGGTTGGGAGATTTGTCCAGGAAAGAGCTCCCTGCACACTTGGTGACAATCACTCCTCCGTTTCCCTTTTTCCTTCCCCTCCTTCCCTTTCCCTTCTCCCTCTCTCTTATGAATGGGAGTCCGTTCCGTGCACTGGGGACCAGGGCTATGGCTGAAAGACCCAATACTCCTGGAGCCTCGGTTCGGAGGAGGACGACAGCAGGAAGGGAGAGGGCCCACCCCTGGCCACCGCAGAGGGACAATTTGTGGAAACCTTTTAACAAAAGTGCATGTTCCTTCCGACCAAAGAAACGCGTGTGCAATGGAAGCCTTCCTTTTAAAGCAAGCTAACTAACCTCATTGTGTGCAGTAGTTCATCTGAAAACCATGGGAAAGGTGTAACTGTGGTTCTAGAGAGGGATTTACAGACTATTATTTTTTGTCTATATATTTTTTGTTTTGTTTTGTTTTTATAAATTCCCAAGGAATTGTTAACGCTTTGGTGACACCTACTGGATTCTTTGTGAAATTCCGAGGTGCTTCAGCTCTTTGCCTTTTACCCGGACTGTGCCTTTGATTGCATGTCTCCCTCCTGGGGGCTCCTGGGCCAGAGAGCCCCTCTCAGAGGCAGATGAAGTGTCGGCAGTGATCTGCCACACGTCACGGAGACAATCGTATCTTCCTCAGCTTTTCACGGAAAGATGGGAAGAAGAGTAGAGCTAGCTATAAAACATGTATGGCACATCTTGTTTCATTTTGCATGTGACTTCTTTTTAGTGCATTGATGAGGTTTTAGCTGTCATTGTCATCCAACACTTTACTGTTCAGGGAATGCCTTCACGGTTTTTATACTGGTTTTACTGTTCGGGCTGTGGCTTGGGTTTGAGGATAGTGTTATCAGCCACCTGCTCTCTTCTTCACCCACCCCAGTAAGCTTATATTTTGTGAAGCATTTGTTTCTCAGATTAAGACACTGTTAGAACCTAATGTAGTAGCTGATGAGTATCTGTGAATTTTTTTTTTTTTTTTACTTGAAGTTGATTGTCTTAAAATAGGCCCCCTCCCCTGTATCATCCACACCCCGTTCATCGTCGGCCATGTGCACTACAAGCTGCAATTCGGAAAATTTTCTTGCTGTTCTTGAAGATCGATGCTCTCTCCAAGACACTGGTTACTGCAGCGAGGTTCATGTATTAAAAAAAAAGAAGGGCCAGTAAGGCCACCGGTTTTTATTAAAAATCATTGTGCAAATTCTTATGTTAAATTAAACTAAGCTTTGCTGTGATACTGTTTTCCCTATGTGATGGTACAGGAGTGATGTCAAATGAAGGGGGGAAATATTGCAGGGGAGCATTTTAAATCGCAAACGTAAAAAGTTATAATATTTATAATGTTGAGGAGTGTTTAAGTTTATTTTTATAGGGAACATTTTTCTTCTCTGAAATCGTTTTTGGAATGGCAATTTGTTTCCATAATTAAAAGCTGATGTTGTCAGTCGACGTTTGTGTGTTTTTACTTACGGCGCCGTGCCAGGTACAAGGTCACAGGAATGGGAGAAACTTCTTTCGAGACACATGGGGACACATGCTAGGGGGTGACCATTTTTACTAGGTTTGAGTGGGGCACACCTGGTCTCTCAAATGTCATTTTTCCTGTCTTGTGGGGAAAACAACCCTAGCTGAGTGTCTGCCCGTATAATACATTACTAAAGCCGTTGCTTTGATTGTGAGACAGACATGCATGCAGAGGGTATAAAGCCTGGGAACCGTTTAGAGAATTATTATAAAGTGGGACACCCTGTGGCTACACCAACATAGACATGGTAAGTTCCTTAGATACCTTCTCCCTCTACGCCCCCCTCTCCCCACCCCCATTCTTACCCCTGAGGCATCCCATCCTTGAAACAAACCACTTTCAACATAAAAGCGTTTTAATTTTGGTCAACGTGCCTGTCTCACGTGGGTGGGGAGTGTTTGGTGGTCAGCAGTGGTGACTGGCTTGATTTACCCTTTCCCCCTCTCCCCCACCTGCAACCACTGCCTCCTGGTCTTAGACCTCCAAGCTGGCTGCAGATCAGTGTTCTTACTACTGCACTGCCCCCTAGTGGCACTGATGACATAGCAAGGCCACACTGATTGGTGAGGGGTAGCATTTCACCAACTAGAGCTGCTTCACAAGTGAGAACATCATCATGGAAAATGATGGCTCCATACAGAGTTCCTTTTTCACAGAACTGTCCGTAGGAATCTAATTTGGGATTTCAGCCTTGGTTACTATCCAAGGTGCAGGGGGATGCTTTGAAATTTTTATTCCTTAAAGGGATTAGCTTCCTGCCCTAGGTTTCTCTTCCGAATGTGTCACTGGTTACAAGATCGGTTCTCAAGAGTCACCTGCTGCGTTTGGGACTCTGTCAAACGATCCCAACTGGGGGTCCTGTGTTTTTGAAAGAGGAGCAGAATTCTCTGTAGGATCAAGTGCTGAGCGTGTGCCAGGCATTATTCTAAAAAGCTCAGTGCCTATTAACCCATTCCCATTTGCAGGTGAGGAAGCAGAGGTGCATCGAGGTCCAGCAGCTTGCCTGTGGCCCCGAGTGAGAGGCAGGGCCGCGTCCTGGCAGCCGAGCTCTCGGCCTCTCCATCCCCTTCCTGTGCGCTCATCCCAGCTGTTCCATGACGCTGCTGGTTCGAAGCCTTCTCGGTTGTCCACACTTTTCGGGGTTTCTGAGAGGTGAAAGCACAGCCTTGATACCAAGGTGCTTTATTGTCCTTTACTGCTCTGTCGGCATTCCGTGGGAGTGACGGCCTGAGTGGCAGAGGGAGAAGCACCTGCCCGTGTTGCCAGGGAGAGGCCGGCAGGGCAGGTGGCAGAGCCCTGTGTTCTTACTGCGGTTAGCCATTCAGCATCCTGGGCCCCAGAAGAATGCCTCAGAGCTGAGTTCCAGAGGATCTCCCAAACGCTTGCAAGCCTGGAGTTTTACTTCCCATCAAGGACGCTCCTCTTCAAAGGAACATGGGAAACGAGGTACTTAACAGTGTATATTTGTCTCGTGTGAGTCACTACTTAACACATTGCGGGCTGGCAGTTTTATTGCTCGCTTTACCCAGTGGCCAGATAAGTTTCTATTGAACGAGTACAAAAAAATGTTTAACAAAAATGTTAAAGGCACATTTTAAAGTGAAATACCCATTGCATTTTGAAGTTACTTAGTACATGTTCTTACAAGCAGATATCTTTGTAAAGCATGATACTTTGTAAAACACTGTGTAATATGAATTGAGAATTCTCATGTGTTAAGTGTGCAAGAAAGCCTGGTGTAAGGATTGGGGGGATGAACAAGAAGAGGGACGTGGGCATCGATAAAAACTGCAGAGCTTTTGGTTTGGTTTGTTTGGTTTCCTAGTAGTTTTGGTTTTGTTTTGTTTTGTGTTTGTTTTTTTTGGGGGGGAGAGGGGGATTTTCTACAAAGTGAGACTAACAGGGTCGAGGGCAGATCCTTTTGAACTTCAGTAACGGCATCCAGAGCCAGTTGTGATTCTCAGATTTGGCTGAGGTAGCGCTTGGTAGCAGCTGACTCAAAAGTTCTTCTCTTCCTGTTTCCAAGAAAAGTGAGTATTGGGATTTTAACATGCTTACGCACAAACACGAAACACCAGGGCTGTGTGTGGGTTTTGGCTTTGTTTTGGGAATTCCGTTAACCAGGATGGTTTGTGTTCATCTTGCTGAACAAAGAGCCTTGCCTCTCATGGACCTGGATCTTGAGTGGCACAGCTCTGGGCTTGGGGTGGGGTTGTGCACCCTCCCCTCCCTTAATGGACGTGTGGGATTCATCAGACCCTGTGCGGCTCCTTTCCTCTGGAGTCCTAGGGGCCCTGCTCTAAGGGCTTGCTGATTTCCAAGAGCCATACATGCCAGGAGCAGTAATCTGGAGTGTGGGGCCAAGACGTAGGCTCCTTGAATGATTATGATGGTCGCTGGGGGCAACAGCTCATATTCCAGTCTTTTAATCCGAACTCTACATGGTCTCCATGTTCTTTTCAAAATGGCAAACATTTCCGATGTTTTTCCTTGAATGTGTGCTCTTCAGGAAAACATTCAGAGCCAGTGATTTTTAGGTAAAATCGAGCCTGTCTTCTGATGCCTTATCAATACGGGGCACCAGGGCAGCTGTAGAAACCGAGCCTTCTGCAAAGTCCAAGTTCCAGCGCCTTTTTTCCAAATAGACTTCCCAGGGGGTCGGCCTGTGCCGGGGAAGGTAGTCTCCTTGCGGGTAGGGGTGTGGATGAGGACACGGGTGCTTTCTGTCCCTCGGGCCCCCCTCTTTCAGCAGCTCTTGGGGAGAGTTGTTTGTTATGACGCTGGTGGTCGCGAAAGAGCAGTGTTTAGGATCCGATGAAAGAGATTGCAAGACAACATGAGGTCCTTGCGTTGAATCGTTTCCTTAAAAAACGTTAATTTGTGCCGGAGTAGTGGGGAGTTCTGGGTGTTCCTAGTTTTGCCTA